TTCTCGAGTAACGCGACGAATCAACACTTTGCTCTCACCGCCGGGCCAGAATGCATCTCTTGCGCCGTGCCTTACATACAACCTCGTCCATCAACCCTGCAGAAATTTCTCACTTTTCGCGACTTTCCTCGCAATGGTGGGATGAAGCAGGCGAATTCAGCTTTCTTCATAAGATGAACCCCGTTCGAATACGCTATATTCGCGAGAAGCTTGTCGAAGTTGCGCGGGATGAACAACCATCATACAACGAGTCTTCATCAGCCAGTGTACTCAAAGGGCTTGATGTATTGGATGTAGGATGCGGTGGTGGGCTCTTGTCTGAGGTACGCCGAAGTCGCACTAACTGAGCATAATCTTACCGGTCACATATCTGCCAGAGCCTTGCGCGGTTGGGCGCGAAAACTACGGGAATTGATGCGTCCGAATCAAATATCTCGATTGCGAAGCTGCATGCGGCGCAGGACCCGAGGTTGGCGCAACCCGGGCCGTCAGCATCTTTGTCCTACCTGCATTTGCCAGCTGAAACGTTGTTGTTCCAAGAAAAGCGTTACGATGTTGTCTGCTCAATGGAGGTTCTTGAACATGTTGATAACCCTCCGGCATTTCTTGATACATGCGCCAAGCTTGTCAAGGTCTGTTACACTTCCAGCCTTTTGTGTTTTTAGCTTATTTCCCTGCAGCCGGGCGGTCACTTGTTTCTTTCAACCATCTCACGAACCACCCTTGCATATTTTCTCACCATCTTCATGGCTGAGGATGTGCTGCGGAAAGTCTCTCGTGGAACTCACACGTACTCCAAGTTCATTCGACCCGAAGAGCTGACGGCGTTCTTTCGGGCCTACCCAAATTCGACCTCGCCTTGGATAAACGCGGGGCTAGGCTCACCAACTCGAACCCAAGCAGAGGTGCGGGGCATGGTTTACGACCCGTGGCGCGCCAGTTGGACGCTCGCGCCCCGGAATACATCGGGAGCGGCCGATTGCAATTATCTGTTCTGGGTCAGAAAACCCCAAGCGGCGTAGGCCTGAAGCCTCTGCATAGCCGATGACCTCGGGTTTGTTGCAGATTATTTTCTGTAGGTAGGCTATACATCACTTTTCGTGCATTGTTCGTGGTCTTGTCAAAACGGCGGTCGCGTGACCGTGACAGAACCTTTCTGTCCTCTACCAGCCTCCACCCTCATGTCGCGTCGTTCGGCTCGCTCCCAGATTCAAACTACCGGTGAAGCAGACATTCGAGACAATTACGAAGATGAACGAGAAGACCTGCCGCCACAGAAGCGTCGCAAAGTAACCACTAAAAACACGGTGGCATGTACTCCGCAAACCGTGTTTCTGTGGATTCTGATAGCGTTGTTCTTGCTGCAGGCCACCGCCAACGATGATCACAAAGCCAAGCGAATTCGTGGCCGCCGAGGAATCCTCAGTTCCTTACGGGAGCTGCCATTGGACCTCGTCGCCGAGATTTTTGGCCATCTCAGCCCTACAGACCTTCTGAATCTTGCGCGCACCTCGAAGGAGATCCGAGGGATCCTCATGAGCAAAAGTTCGGCATTCATATGGAGGGCATCGCGCGGCCAAGTCGATGGTGAGCATCTGTACGATGCAGTTTGCATGGTGGCACTCAGCGTCTTGTTTCAGGGCTCCCCGATCTGCCACCCGATTTATGCGAGCCCCAGTATGCAAACTTGTGCTTCTCGACGCATTGCCATGTCAGTCTTCCATTATTTCATTCGGGTGACGAATAGAGACGAGTCTTGCATCTAGAAATGCCTGAAATTTCCCGTGTCAACCGTTGTTTGGTCGAGCCGGCAGAGATTATGCAAGAAGTGCCTCAAAATAAGGTCGATCTCGAACCTCAAGCTCTTCCCATCTTTCATGCTGACTCTTCTACTCGATAGTTTTTCCAACGACATTTATGCTCTACGCCGCTTGGAACTTGAAGAATCTGAGATACTTACAATCGTACCTTCTCATCTCGGTCCGGGTAAGGATGCAGGAGTAGTGTTTTTTGCCGCATCTCATCTGTTATGTCGCAGGCCGAACTCGATATCATAATGCTCGTATATTATTCTCACGCGAAGTCGGTGAGGAACTTGCAGAGGAATGCGCCGGATTTCTCGAAGACGGTGAAATTGACCGATCCAACACCAATTATCTGGAATGGTTTGAAAAGCGATCGCAACATATGAAAGTAATCAATCAGGTCAGCCTTCTCATATGCCGCCGCTTGATAGCTACTCAGTCGGCGCCTGCAGCATGCGCAGTTATGCGCGACGTGGGCAGCCGAACGTAGCAACGAGCGCAAAGATCAGCTTGACGATTCTCGTCGGCTGCGACAAGAAGCGTGCGTTGAACCATCTATGTTTTGCAGCATGAGCTTGACTTTGTGTTGCAACAGCATTGTCGACCGACTGACTGCTCTGGGATGGGGAACGGAGATCCCCTTCCACATCAAACAGCTGAATAAGCACAAATCATTCAAACAACCCAAGGAACTGACCGAGCGAAGTAGGTGGTCCATCGGCCTCTAGGACCTCTTCTTAATGCATTTATAGTTTGGAAGAATATCGAAACGCCTCTCGTAGAATTTCTGGCGGATCTAGAACAAAAGCGTCTGGCTTCTCTACGTGTTAAGCTAATCAAGGAGCGGCGGCTGCTCGCAGCAAAAGTGTACAACGGATTTGTCGACTCCTCGCCACACGAGGACATCCTTCCGCCCAAAGTTGACATGCTCAGTACAGAACCGTTCAGAACGATCATCGAGGACTCTCCTATCTACCCTGAACAGAAAATCACCGAGGAATCGTTCGCTACTGCCTTACTGTCAGTACCGCAATTTGCATCCAGCTGGAAGCGGCGCAAGGACGAGAGACTCGTTGAAATCATGAGGAAATGCAACCCCGAATTCACGACGGAGCATCTCTGCTTGGCGAAGACCTTCTTCAGATGCTCAGAATACAGCAACGCCGAGCCCATATCCTATCCGCGCATATTGATGCATGGCTCGGCCACCTACAGTTCCAGATGGGCCTACGTAACGAGCGATCGCGAATCTAACAGCCTGCAAGGCACTCTCAAGGAAGAGGCTTGGAACGCAGACCGCAAGGTCAGGTTTCATGAGGAGGCAGAACGGAAAGCACAATTCGTGGTTAAAGCATGTGGATTAGATCCAGGTAAGTAATCTTTGCTCTTGATCCTTGGAGCATGTTGCTCACCACTTGGTAAGATGTCACGACGCGCGCTGAAATGGAGGACAGAAACCCAGCATTGGAATGTTTGAATTGCACCGGTGATAGCGGTCGATTGTTCATGCGATGGGATGCAGCGGTGAGTCTCTCGTACTGTGTTTCTGGCTCTTAGCTTAGCGCTCTTCATAGGTCCATCATAACTGTGCTTATCCACGTGGAGAAGCCCTTCCACCACCGTCTTGGAAGTGTTTGGCTGTGGACGAAGAGGATCTATTCGTCACCAAGGAGAGAGAAGTTTTCGAAGCCGGAAGGCCTGAGACTGGCTGGATTCCCGTCGAAGACCCGGATGTCCACTGCTGCAAGGCGTGTGGCAATCGTCGCAAGATGACTCGCTCCCGGCTACGAAATCATTTGTGGACCAAGTACGTATGAACAAAACCTTTTTTTTTGCACACTAACCAGTAACTCTAGACACAATATCCTGGACGAAGTCAAGTTCGAGCATTTCGAATATCATCCCGACGCAGCTATCGACAGCAGATATCCACAAGCAGTGCGTATGAATTTGCTTGCTGATGGGGACAGTGAGGAAGGAGACAAGTAGTCAGCACTCGGCATGGATTACACGAAATAAGACAGATACGTATTGTCAGGAAGAAACTTTAGATGAACACTTCCGCATTTTCAAAGTAGAGATATATAAGCAATCCCTACATTGTTTTGTTATAATCTTGCGACTCGAACGTAGCGGCAATTGTGCGAGATAGATTTTCTATTATATTTTACATGAAGAGCGTTTTGATGAAAGCACGGTACAAAACGGGTACGCCTTACTCAAGAGGAATTCAGTTTTGGCTCCGTTGCCCAGCGGGTCGGGCTAGTCAATGTCGAACAAGAAACGAGAATGGCAAAGGAGGTCTAATACTGAAGGCCCAGGAACACTCGCGCGATGTCCACAAGTTGAACAATGCTCATCCCGACGATCGAAGCTTTGAGTTCGACTATATTAATCGATTCGGCATCGGCACGCGTGGCGAAGGCAATAGAGTAAAGCTTGCTCGGCGTCAAGCTCGACTCTGGGCGATTCTTCAAGAAATCCCAGTCTGACAGCGCCGAGCAGTCGTGAGAGGTGTGCATGAGGAGCTGATACATATTTTCGCCTGCAAAGGACCTTGAGATAGTAGTGAATATAAAATTGAGCCATCAGTGCTTGCAGCGGTCCCGACAGAAGGCAGAGCGTAAACAGGTTTATCGCCTGTCGGGGACCAAGGGTAATAGTACGGGATCGCCAACAAGATGTGCAGACCAGTGAATGATAGATTTCACGCTTCGGGGATAAGCTGCCGTCGCGCGAGTCCACCATGCCTAACCCGATAAATGTTGTGAGACTGAGCATGAGCTAGATTGCGCGATGGTCGAAAAACGGACACCAGTAGTGCCCGCGAATGCAACTGCAAGGGCTGAATGCTTCATTCCGTGCCAAGTTCGCCCTTGTCGGATAGTGCAGTGATAGACAAAACGCGCCAGCGTGATGATGCCTCGCCCCAACTTGGAGCCTGGTGGTTGATCAGGCGTGTCCCAACGTCTTGGAGGCCTTGGCAAGTTAGAACGGAGAACGTCGCTGCTGTCTGGCTTGGGGGTATGTCCGTCCTCGGTCTTGGTAGTTTCTTTGTCGACGCGACTGGAGTGAAGATGAAGATGCTAGTGGTGTGCAGAACCAACAGGACATTGACAAGTTCAGAATCCCAAGGTCTTCTTCATGGGTCGGCCTTACTTCCTACTGATGGATATCTTTTGCACTACCTTTCAAGCTGACGTGGTCTAGTAGCATGATACCTGCTTTGGGTTTTTTCCGAGCACGGGATGTGATCCCATCACGTGAGTGCAGGGGGTCCCGGGTTCAACTCCCGGCGTCGGTCTTTTTTTTTGCACCCATTTACACTCCGAGCATCCAGTGTTTTGATTCAGAGGACAGACAAGAAGGAGAGCTTGCAGATTTTCAATTTTACAGACCTCGGTTGCGTCTGGTTGTCGAGAACGAGTCCAATCATTCAGGGACGTGAAGAGACCCGTCTCGTGTTTTTGTCAAGCATTTGGTCGAGATTTCATGGATGGGTTTCAGAAGTTCGTCTGTGAGACTTCAAGACCAACACGTCTGGCATCTAGTCGAGGTACACTACATTCCTACGTTTCGCATCATCCGAGTTCTCTACTCAAGAATTCAATATATTGTGTACAGCAACACAGACGCACAAACTATGATATCAGCTGGCTTCACAAGACGACATATAGTCATACCAGGAAACGGACATATTGGAAGTTGTTTAGCGCATCACGACTATCACGACTATCCATGCATCTAGATGGCAATTTGGCCGTGGATGAAACTGCGAGCAGAAGCCTTGTCGGCTGTGTGAACATCAGGGTAGAGGTCGATATGAACTTGTCACCGTGCGACGCCGGTGTAGGCAACAAAGCAAGTCGGAAGGCTATATTGACGACTTGGGGAAAGCGATAAGACAGTTTGGTCTCGGCTTCTAGAAGATACTGCCTCCAGACACAGAGCTTCGAGCATGAGAGAATTGATGATAGCATGAAGCAGCAGTGGGCAACACAATCACAGTGACAATTCGAAGCAGCATCACCAAGACGAACGAGCGCTAGCCATGCATGGTACACGAGCGGATATAGCTGAAAGGCCATGAAAGATGCCGAGGAAACTCGGCGTGATACGTCGCTGTTGAACTTACGCTTGTTGCGCGCCTTTGTGTGGTTTAATTTAGTGCAGATTTTCTACCGCCGTCTTGTTGGATGGATTCGAGACCGTTGGCAGTGAGCTTACTTTTTATACCGAGAGAAACCGTCTAGAACGACTTTGCGGAAGGTCGAGGTACGTTTCGAGAGAAGATAACAAAGAGAACGCCGCAGGTTTGCTCACATATAAGCACAGTAAGGCAGGCGTTTAGCAGCTCCTTTGAAACGATGGAGTTCCAAAAAGACAACAAGATTTGCAGACTCAGATCAGACCAGGGAATTCGTTGAGAAAGATGGAGATCGGGAGAACCTTCGGACATTAGTTTCGGATTTCCTAGTTTGCATTGTCACCGGTGCCAGCGACAAAGTAGACTTTCGACGCTCAGCGTCAGAATAAGTGTGAGGGAGAGTAACACGGTTCGGACATTCGGCCGAGGCAATAAACGAAGAAAACTTAACTCCATCGAGCTGCCACACTTTTGCTCTCGTCGTCGTCGTCGGCGTCAATGTCGTCCCCCCTCTCTGCTAATAACGAGCTTGTGTTTCGACAATGCCTCCTGCATCATCAGAATCTGCTGCCATCCATGCATCACTTTCCGTGCGACCTTAAGAAGAACAGCTTAATATTGTCCTGAATCTAGTCCTCTCTGCCTTCACATGCCTACCTCCAGCTCATTCTGTCGCGCTCTACACGACTACGACGCTCAGGATTCTGCTTGTCTATCTTTCCGACGCCATGACCTTATTGAGATTGTGACTCGGGCGCCTTCTGGTTGGTGGGTTGGGTCAGTGCAAGACAAGAGCGGCTGGTTTCCTTCGAGCTATGTCACCGCTGTGGTCGCGCAAGATGCCTCTAGACGGCGAATTATTTCTTCCGAGAATGGGGACTTCTGGATGCCCCAAGTAACGTCCGACGGTAGAGTGAGTTATTCGCCAAAGTTGTATTTCCCTGGCTGATCTTGTGATCCACAGATATTCTACGTGAATACCGAAAGTGGTCAACACGCTCAAGATATACCTACAGAAGACATGGAGGCTGCATTGAGTCTTGGAAAATTCAGAGCGGTGGGACTCACTGCCAGCGGTCCAATGAGCTTTCGCCACTCTCGATTGATGGGTGACACTCGACGCAATGCAAATCAAGCCCGTAGACCTCGCGAGCCTTCTACATACTGGGACTGTAAGTTGGAATATACACAACATACGTCTTGCCTTAGACCTCGTAGTTGACTCGGACTCGGACGACGAAGAATCGCCCGAGATTATCGTCATCACGGAGCCTCTACCGTCTGGTCCAGCCTCTCCGCCTATTCGTCTACAACAAGCACCCGACCCCAGCGAGATTGTTATTGATCTTGAAGGCACAGTCTGTGCGGGGACCGTCCCTGCGTTGGTCGAGCGCCTCACGGCGCATGGCTTTTCAGGTTATTTTGGTTTCTATTTTCGCTGCCACTGTCTGACATGATCGTTCCACAGATCCCGCCTATCTGAACGCGTTTCTCACAACCTTCAAATCATTTACAACCGTCAGCGAACTATTGTATCTTCTCGTGGAACGTTTTTGGATCCAGCCTCCACCCAATTTGACTGCGGTCGAGCGGGACGAATGGGTGCAGTCGGAGCAGCAGCTCATCCGGACTAGGTTCCTCTTTTCTCCATGATTCAGATTCCTAGTTGACGCCTTGCAGAGTATTAGAGACTTTGAAATATCTACTCGTACACGAAGAACTGGAGACTGTTGAATTGGATCAAATTGAAGAGTTTCTTGCCATCAACGGGGTAGCGAAATTCTCTGCGGCCAAGAAGCTTTCGGTTTTAATTGAGCAGGCGGTGCGTGTTCTGTGTTCATTTAGTACTTCAATTCACGGGTCCACACAGCGACGAGGTGGCGCCGTCAACAACTTGCCTCCAGCACTCTCACCTTATCTGCCAAAATCGAGCAAGCCGCTCAAGCTTCTCGACATACAGCCGTTGGAGCTCGCCCAGCAGTTGACAATACTGGACAGTCGCCTGTACCAGTGCATCAAGCCGGCGGACTGTCTCCAGCAAGTATGGCCACAAAAGACGCAGACCGCGAATAGCATCGTCTCGTTCATACAAACGAGCAAGAACGTATGTGCCGTTTCATCCCAGAATTCTTGCACTGATACCGGTTACAGATACGGCTTTGGGTCGTTGAAACCGTTCTCACCGAGTCCGACCGTCGACAAAGAGCTCGAATTATAGACCACTTCATTAGCATTGCCGACGTGAGCCTGTCATCCATCTCCTCGCCCTTCGCTGATCGCCCGATAGCACTGTCGGACTCTGCAAAATTTATCCGCAATGGCAGCAATCACATTCGGACTCAATACGCTTGCGATTCGTCGCCTCACGCGTACATGGGCGCGAGTCAACCCCATCTTCGCGGGCCAACTCCGCGCATGTGAAACGCTCATGATTAGCAGCAAGGGCTCTTCGAACTATCGATTCATGATGAAGTCCGTTGTCCCTCCATGTGTGCCCTTTCTTGGTGAGTTGCGGCTCAATTCTGCCGGCGAACTCTGCTGAGTTTCTGGCAGGATTCACTATCTCCACTCTTCAGTCTATCAAGGACGGATCCCCAGATACGTTACCAGTACACCGCGATAGAGCTGCGCTGCTCGTCAATTTCAAGAAGCGGCAGAGTGTTGCGGACGTCGTTGACGAGATTAAGCAGTGGCAGGTTCCCTACAATTTGAAAGTAGTTCCATCGATCCAGAATTACGTCGAGGACTCGCTTCATTCGGTTGATGATATCGCAGCTGAGCATTTCGACGCGATGAGTCTCGAGCTGGAACCCAGATGACAATTTGTGTCCTTTCATATACTATAGCGTTGCTTGTATCCCATACACGAATTGTGATCCTCGACTTGAAAATCGTCCAATATATGTATACTGTAGTAAACCGGGCGTCGTAATACAGATACAGAGCCAAGTTGACGAATCGGGGGAAAGTACATGCGGCGATCCATGATGTAGTGGGAGCTGTACAAAGAGAGAGGGTTCAATTGGGAGGTTGAAGAGAGTCTTGCGATTAGAATGCGACGACCCTTGAAGCCGAGTAGAGGAGCCAGGCATGGAGGACGCCGAGAGAAAAACACGAGAACGGGCCGAGAGATTTGAGAGATGGCTGCTTGAGCCCGCGGTAGATAATCGAGAATGGCCGGCCGAGAATCTTTGAGGATAGCAGGAATTACTGATGCGACCCGTGGAAGGACTGAGGAGACGGCGAAGGATTTGGCTATAGAGATGCTTCCAGAGTTCTTGATGGGATTAATTCATCCTGTGCCTAGAGACGTCGCTGTGAATCCGTTTGTTTCTCAGCAAAGTTAACCCATGACGCACGAGTTTTTGAGATGCTTAACCAGATTGTCGCGAGAATAGGTACGAGTGGCGCGCGGGCAAAGAGAGCACAGCTGAACGCTCAGAACAATCTTCTCAGCTATTTGTTCCGGATGTCTAAACAACACGGTTTCAATATGGCTCCCGAAAACGGTAAGGGAGGAACAACTTTGATTGCAAATGCATAGCAAAGCCATGATTCGTATGGCGGCGAGGGGATGGTTTGTGCGGACAAAATAAACAAACAGTTTTGCCACTAGGGTCGGGCGTGCGGAGGCGAATTTCCTCGAGAACCAGAGGTTGAAGAGTTTCCCATGCTATTCAGAGAGAAATGAGTGATCAGAGAAGGACGGTAAGCGGCGGTATAACCAGCGGGGCCGAACACTTCAAGATCGCGAGCGAACGCGTTGATATGTCGCGTAAGAGTAGGCGATGTGAGCATATGTTCGAAAGAACGGTCATGGATCGTAGCTAGATTTTGAATGCTTGAACAGATGTTAACAGATAACAACCAGGTGAGGCTTGGAAAGCATCTCACAAAGCTTCATGGTGAAGATCAATCGCAGCCTTAGCCTCTTTGTATGCTCGTGAACACACGATCAATTTCTCCGCCGCCTAAGTGGAATATTTATGAGTATATGAAGATATAATGAAAGAACGACCAACTTGGGACCACTCGACTGAGGCTGTGTCTGTGGTCTGCGAGTTACCAAACGACAAATGAGAACTCGGCATGTGGTCCAATAAGTATGACCGCAAACCGGAGTAGCTTTAAGGTCTCCGAGTTCATGATGCAAAAAG